AGGATGGAAGAGGGTGATGAGGAGTATAACTGAATATAAACACAGAAGAGAAGTATATACTTGTCCTGGAAAAAAGCTAATGCCCTTTTCAGTTAAGTTTGAAAAAAAGAAGGGAGGTATAAAAGTTCACTGCTGTGACAGCTAATGTAACCTTAAGCTCTGACAGACTAAAAGTAAAACTGTAGATGGTTTTAAACCACAAGAGAATTTCCTATGACATCTAACAACAAGAATCTGATTCTTCCCAACTTCTGTTTTGTTACTATCTTCCCTAGTGAGAATCATTTTCAAGTCAGAAAGGATAAACAAATAATGTTAGATTACTGAAGCTCCAAACTGACAGAGATCATAAGATACACTGAGCTGCTTTAAATGAATGTAAGTATCCACAAGTAAGATTTCAGAAACCCATACTCAGGTATCTCTTCCATTCTCTACCTAAACTGTTAACATTCAAATGTCATTACTGTTTCTAATAAAGGGAGTCAAATGACCAAAATATATATATATCTCCAGACCCAAAAGAATTAGATACAAGGGAGTAGAAGGAATTTGTGTCAAGGTCCACTACAAGAAACAAGTTATAACAAAGTAGCCTAATTTTGGTAGAATTTACAGTACTAAAGGGGCAGATCAAAGGAATGCTATAAACAGAAGATAGCCTGAATTTAGAAAGACAATGGATAAAATACCTCAAAATGTTCAAACAGGTATATTGGAGAGAAATAACTGGCTGATAGCTCTATTAAGTGGCTTCAATGTTGGAAGAAAGACCATACATAAAGATTGCCACTTTTAAATTTATACTAAGCTGAACGGAGGTTCTTTACAATATATATGGTGTGTTGAATTCCAGTTACAGAAAACATGCTTATTAAATCTACAGATGATGCAGAGAAGTTAATATTCCAGAGGACAGACTCAGGAGTGAAAAAGATCTAGATATATTATAAATATAAGTTAAAACAAGTAAGATTAATATGATAGGAATAATTTAAGTTTAACCAACACTTTTACAAATACCAGATAGAGGAACCATGGCTTGACAAGTCATTGGGAAAAAAAAATATCTGGAAGTTTTAACTGACTATGTGCTCAATGTGAACCAAATGCACTGTTTAGCTCAAAAAATCTTGACCTGTCCTAAGGTAGATTTTAGATCAATAATAAAGAGATAATAATTTCATTATGTCATGTTTCAAATATCTGCTATTTTATTTTCATTACACAATACATGTTCATTGTAGAATATTGGAAAATGTAGATAAACAAAAACAAGCAAACAGAGATCATCCACAATTCCACCACTCAACAATGAACACTATTTACATTCTGGTGTTTATCATTCCAGACTTCTTAATGTATGTTGTAAATGATCACACACACTTAGTCTTTCTTAAGAAAAGGGTCATACTACAAATGCTGTTTTTGTAACTTTTTAAAATTCAATAGTATATCAAGTCCCAGTATATTCTACACTGGTCAAATGACATCTAGTGCATCTAGATGTAGAGGGTCATTGCAAAATTTGAGAATATGCAAAGAGGACAAAGAGGGTAGTGAAAAGTATGAAAATATAAGTTCTTAACACCTTTTTTTGCTACATGACAACAGGTTGATGAAATTTTCAGGAAAAAAAAAGATTTATAAGAAAACAACATGGCTAAATGCATGCACCTGAAGAACTGCCTTGGTTGATGAACTAGACTATCTTACATTGACCCAAAAAGCCAAACTAGTACCAACTGCTGGAAATTGCAGGGAGGCAGATTTCAGCTCAATAAAAGATGAATGTTTTTAAATAATGAGAGCTGTCAAAAAATGGAATGGATGGATCTAGTCACTGGAGGGTTTAACAGGACTGGGATAACTAACTGGTAAAGGATGTTAAAGGTAATTACTCTAGGTAAGAAGGTGGATTAAAAGGCACCTTTCTATCTGAAGATTCTGTCATTCTAATGGAAAACTTACTATAGAAATTTACTCCGAGTACAATATGAAGCCAAGTAAGGCTTAGTAATTAAGGCCTCAAGAAACACAGTTAAGTCTTTTAGGGTTGTGTGAGAAATAAGAGCACAATGATGAACACCAATGTGCTAAATGCTCTGCATTCATTTCTGTTTACCTCATTTAATTCTTACAACAACCCTAAATGATAGATACTATACTACCACTTTAGTGAAGGTTAGAGAGATATTCATAATTATTCAAGGTCATTCTTACTTTTGCTAAAAATTGCAGTGCACCCAAACATACCTGATTCCCCATCACACAGCTATTACTCACTCAGTAGGTAATATGTAATCAAAAGCATCTTTAAAAAAGTTCTTATCTAGTAATCCCTCAAAGGGCAGTCACGAGATTTTTTTTAATTAGAAAGAAAAAAGAACAAAATTTAAGGATTTTTAAATTAAATTGTTATTCATAACAAAAAAGTGTTCAGATTAGACTATCTAAATTGGCCATGTGTCTTACTTAAGCTTTTGTGAATAAAAACAGAATCAATAAATAAGAAGACCTAGTAAAGCAAAGCTGAATGACAGAACTTCAAATCTTTACCATTACTAATTATGTGACTTTGGGCAAGTTCTTAATCTTCCTACTCTTAGTCCTTCATCTGAGAAAATGAGAACCAACCTCTTAAAGTTGATGTAAGAATTGAATGAGATGACATATACATTTAGCACAAGATATGACCCTATTATTATACAACACAAGTAATAAAGTAGGGCAAGGGAGTACCAAACCTATCCATAATTCATTCCAAAATATTTTAAAATTTCAAAGTGTCATTATGTTTGAAGGAAAAGGGGCATTTTTTACTATCCTGTAAGAAAAAATTTTGATGACAATCATTTGTGAAATAAAGTGACAACTAATTAAAATGTGACTTCTTCATTTTATGCAAAGGATCACCCAAAGAATACAATTTCAATTCTCATTTTCCTCAAAGATACTCTTTTAATTGTTTATTCAGTATGAGACAGATAAATGCAAGTTTAAAAGTTACTGGTTTTGACTTTGAATTTTTTACAATTGGTTCAAACTACTCTAATGACACACTTCTTTAGGTTTGTTTTGTTTTCTACATGCATTCTCCCTGTAGAGCTACTATTGCTACTTTTGACAAAACCAGCAAAAGAGAAAATCTCTCACTCATGAAGTATGTTGTGGGTCACAATTCCAAAGTTTTATTTAATGTTTACCAACATTAAATAGCTGCTATTCTAGTCCTAAAATTTGACACCTATTCTTTTTTTAAATTGGCACAACTGAGAAGGTATTCAAAAGATGTTTGCCTTTAAGTTCTATCACAAAAATAGGCTTTTTCAAACACCATTTATCTCAATGAAATTAACTGAAGCTCTCACTATTCTCAGAGAATTCTTTAGCGTTTTTCCAAAGGAACTGATTATTTTTAGAAATCTTCAGGATATAGGTTTTTAGCCATAATTATATTTATAACTGATATGATCCTCTAGTAAACATTTATTTTACTTGCAATTTAACACTGCACCTAAATAAACTGCTTTTGTATAAAGTATCTGTGACAAAGGGCAATTATTAGAGCTATAATCTGAAATATGTATACATTGTCTATTTGTGATTGAAAGTAAAAATTATTTAACAAGGGAGTACACACAAGTCATCACTTCAAAGACTTATAGAAAAAATGTCCCATAAATATTCACTGTTCTGAAGTGAACTAATGAACTGTCATTCTAATAAAACGTCACTGTCAGCAAGTTTAGATGATCACATACGGAGCTTTTTTAAATCCCATCAACTATTTTCCAAGTATATTCATTTCACTGTAATACAAATATTTTCATTTACACTAGCCAGGACTGCAAATAATTGCATTATCTGACCACAACATATGAGAATTGTGTAAAGAACAATGTCATCACCCAAAAGTTTGTGTTAAGCATTTGTCAAGAGTAGCACTGAACAGTTTTTAAAAACCAAGAAAAACACTTGACCTTAAAAAAATTTTTTACAAGTTGGGTTGTCTAAGATGTTTTAAGGTGAAGATATGAATGATGACCGATGCTTCCAAAAATATCCAGGGTAAATTGAATAGCCATGATTTCAGACACTATAAGAGTTTCTTTGAATTTTATTAGTGAATATTCTTCAGGTTTTCTCCCTCACAAATTGATTTCATTTGCCCATCAATTCAATTTTCAAGTTAATTGTTTTAAAAATATGCAAACCAACCCAGCTATTCCTGAGGTGTTGCCTGCTGAATAAAGACCTTGACTTTTTTTTTAAATGTCACCTTAAATTCTCCAAGCAATATTAGTCTCACCTGGAACACCTTCACATGAAAAGGCCTCTAGTATATTCCACATACACTATCCCAGTCTCCACCAGGCATCCTTCATCCTGAGATATAATAACCAAGTTTCCCTGTTATGCCCAGGTAACTGAAAGTACTGCTGGGGCTGCCTAACCTGCCTCATCAAGTTTTACACACACCCTGTACTGATGACATCTCACCAGCAGGTTCACTTTCTTCATTTTGTGGGATCATAAGCCACAGCACAGCAAATGCCTTCTTCAAGAGAAGGGAAGCAGCAACCAAAGGCTGTAGCTTCTGCAGAATAATTGCACGCACGCAAAATCTTCTCTGCAAATTCCATTTAAGTAGCCCAAAAAAGGCTGGCTTCGAAGCTGAAAATATGTAACATTGACGGAAAGCGTGTGGAACGCCGATATTCCTCCAGCAACACTAGTACCTGCACAAGTTCTGCACCACAGCTCAAAGAAAAGTAGATACTGACGCATTGATGGAAGCCTATTTAAAAATACTCAAAGAAGCTAAGGCATTAATCTGACTGGGAGGTCCATGCCTCCTCACCATACACACATTCTGTTTCCCTACCTAATTTAAGAATGAATAGCTGGCAGCCACCAGGTGCAATAACCATGAGGAGGACGTACCCATCACAATGCACAACGAGGTGTGTAAACCCGCAGCTGGTTCCGGTCCTTACCTTAGCAGATTGGACAGGGGCAAGGGTCCGGATCCACCGCCCAGGATCCCTCCTTTCCTGCCAGACAGGAGTTTCTCCACCAAAGCCACATTTCCAGTTCGAGCAGCTTCCAACAGCTCCTGGTCCTTCCCCATAGTCTCTCACCGACTCCCTCACAGAGTCCTTTGCCCCTTCGGGTCCTCCTCCGCGCCCACCCCTACTCCCCCAAAATCCAGGGCCCTCCCCGCCCCACCCTAAAATAATGCAAGAGCTTCAGCACCAAGAGATCCCTGCAGCCCCCAGCCGGGAGAACCACTCTGCTAATCTTCGGGGCGCAGCTTTTACAACGAGGGTCAGACCATGTCTTGGAAGAGGGGCTGGCGGAGCTGGGAGCCGCGACGCGCCCCCACAGCCACTCCCCTGAATTCCCAAGGCCTCGTTCCCGCGGGTTGGGCGTGAGGAGGTGGGGACGCGGGTTGCTTCTGAGGAGAGAGAGGAGGACGGTGAGGACTAGAAGGTAGGAGGAGGCGACGGCGGAGACCGTCCTCGTCAGAGCCCGAGTGCCACGAACGACCGCGGCGGCTGCGGCGGCCCGCGCGCCTCAGCCAGGGTTCTCCTCAGCTTCCGC